AATTGTGCTGAATGCACTTACCACTTCTGCACTGGACCACACAAATGTTTCCCCTACACAGTGATCCAATAGACAAAATAACATTATGCAGCTTTGGGAGCCATCTAATCAATTTCTGCAGAGTTTGACAAGGTAGAGTGGAGCATGGAGTCAGGATCATATTACTTGCTACATAGACTAGACTGGACTCAGACAACATCAGCTCAGTTGGTCATAATAGCTTATGTGCTATTTCACAAGGTCAAAAGAATGGCTTGCAAAAAACAAAAAACATTTATGTATATATGTAACACAAACATGTATGTACAGTATTATAGAAATACTGTCTTTGGGTTTTTCTGCTTTAAGATAGAAACATTTTGGTATTATTATTAATATATTTAACATGGTTGAGCCTGCAAGTTGATTATGAAGTAGCAATGTTGGATAATTAATTAATAGCACTTTCATAAAGTTAATATCACACAATATCAAAGACTTCCCATGGATATAACAAATGTAAGTCAGGGTTGAAGGGACAACTGTATAACACACTATACTGTGACCACTGTATATTTGCTTAAAATTATGTATGTCTATACTGTATGTGTGTGTGTGTGTGTGTGTGTGTTTGTGTGTGTGTTTCCCTGTGAGGCTGAAAATGTCTGCCCCCTCTATCGTCAGTGACATGTTTTATTCTCCCCCATCTCAGCTCATTTTCACCTCTCATCTGTCCTGATATGTGTGTCAGCTGTGTTTGGTATGGACCTCCCACTGTTCACCTTTTATTGTTGAGTACATGAATCAAGTGTCAGCAATAAAGAAGAGAAAGGGATGCTACTGTGTACACCAATGGTACACTGAATACAAGTTTTCCCTGTGTAACACTATTAACAACTGTGGTGTTCAAAAAGGGAGTGCAAAGCCTGGAGAAAACTGTTTTATTAGCCTGTAGAGAAGTAATGGGCAGGAAAGCACAACAAGGATTGAATGAAACTTATTATAATTCTTGGATATTAGCTCCCTCTGCTGGCCAATTTTCATTTCCTAATGGTCTATCGGGAAACAGATTAATAGGTCAGTCATTAAGATTACACTCTTATGCATGAGCATGCAAAGCACTTCCATTAAACATGAGAGAAACGTTTATCCATAATCAAGTCAAAACGTTACGAGCACTAAAAACTAAGTCCGGAGTATAGGGACACAAAATGAAATGACTTTGAATAAGCTGACTCTTAATTTGTTATTAGGGAATTACCTATTTAATGTTCAAATCTATTGTATGCAGCTGTTGAATGTTACATTGATGCAAAGAGGTGACAAAGATGTGACAGTTTACTTTAATTTACTCTTGGCTGATCATCTCAAAAACGTAATTTTCAGAAATTGCACAACACAGCGCAGACTGAACATTCCCTCTTTTCATTTGATCTGATTGACAAGATGATTGCAGATTTAGTTCACAGCTGCAGCTGTGACAGTGTGCATCATCTCTGCTCAAACTGTTCCCACATCTTCTCATCTTTTGCATCTGTCAATATCACAACATCATCTGGAAGAGAAATGGAAAAATTTTGTACAAAACAGCTTGTTTGATCTCAAACCAAGAGGAGCTATATAGTCTGAGTTCTTTATCTGTAAATTAGCAAAGCATCAATATAAAATCAATGCTGCTCCAGTCCCACATTCCAAATGAATACAATAATTCTACCAGGGGCGACTGAACCCTGTCAAAGGCCACTGGGCTTGATCTGTCTGCCAGCCCTTTTCCACTGTCACTATAGGCATTCGATTTACTGACCAATCAGCAATAATAAATATCACCTCTGGCAACAAAGTGACCAGTCAATCAGTATACATGACTTATGACATTACAGCCCCCTAAAATAATAATAGCTTTATTATAATTATTATTATTGACATTCAGAGTCCCTTTGTAATTGACTTCATCCCAGGAAAGCCTGTGCATTAAATGGCCCCTGATTACATCTTCTCTTGGGGAATCGATAATGCTGTGAACACAACAGGGAGAGTATCACAGAGTAGATACTATAACAATATTCAGTGTGAATACAGCAGAACAATGGTAATTATAGCAATATTGTTGGTTAGTGAGCTGACGCTTACATGCAAACTTTAAAATGATCTCCATTATTTAACACTACTTTCACATATGCTGTGGATTAAAGCCAGTGTTTGTCCAGCCAGCTGCCTGTCAAAAAAGATGAAAATGTCTCTTAAGTCAATGTAGCAGCTACACACACTTGTTTTGATTAACCTTCCTAGAGCTCTTATTGCTGAAGTTCATATATCACACCAACAGAATATTTGAACATTTATCACTTCATACGTAATAAATAAGAGTCAGCTTGTGACATGAGGTGGATTATAACTCACAGGATACCATAGTATACCCTTACATCTGAAGCACAGTGTTACTAGAACCTTTTTACATGAATAACACAGTCACAGTTGCAAAGTTACAAGAGCATTTCTGCTCTTACAACCCCCCCCCCCAACTACTTTAGCCTCCCCTAGAAGTGACGGTACTAGTCCTAGAAGTTGGTTTGGGATTTTCAGCCCATAGTACTTGGTCAGATATACCAGGGTTATTAGAGTGTTCACTTTTAATCAAAACTGTGCAAACCAGAATCAAAATACATGCAAACACCTGCATCCACTTACTTATCAGCTAGAGGGTCAGACTGCAGCTGACACTGCTGAAGTACAGTATATTCTGAATATGTCACAGGTCTATTAAAAGGCTGACACCTACTGTATGGTAGAGATACTTGTATGCATTTATTTTTTCTGTCCTTTAGAAAGAATCAGGCTATTGTTTTTCCACCTCAAGTCTTTATGCTAATTGGCTGCAGGCTGTGTCATCTCAGGAATAGTTTGACATCTCAAAATGTCAAACTACTGCATTAAATATATCAGAGGGAGCTAGAAAAGAAAGTCAAATTAATACAACCTTTTAACAAGATGATAATTTCTTAAATGTATTTACATCGCTCGTATTCAAGATTTTATGTGAGAGCATCATTGCTGGTGTTCTGTCTGTTATCACCGCTGCCAGACTCGCTGTACAGTCGCCTTGTGATTTATCACTTTCTGCCAGTCTTGATATCTCTCTGTTCAGATTTTGATGAGAGTGATAAAACCAGGCAATAAAGTAAAGTCAGCTCTCTATCAAAACTGGTGTTACTCACAGGAGGGCTGCTTTGATGTTGTTCATGCATTTAGAGAAAGTCTTTGGGATCCACGCCTCAGATAGACCAGATAGAAGAAATATACAGTACAGAGTCACGTACAGGCATCACTGCATCCCATGTCTGTTGCTGTGAACAACCTTTTACTGCATTTAAACATTTGGAAATAAAGGTGACATATTCTGTCAGTCTGTTATGATCTCTTTTTCTAAGTAAGCACAATTACACAGTGACAGATGATGAATGGCATGTATTACAGAAAAGGGTGCCAAGTCAAGAAACAAGATAAAACTTTCTTAGAAATACAACAGTGCCACTTAGTAGCCAAAATATCCTAGAAATCCATTGAAAACTGTGTCTGTATTTGGTTGCAAAATGCAGCCGGTATGGGAAGTTTTCACACCCTTTGAGCTTTTTCACATTTTGTTATGTTTTAAAATGGATTCAGTTCCTTTTCTTCCCCTCCATTCCACACACAATACTCCACAATGATAAAGTGAAAACAGGTTTTTGGAGTGTTTTGTAAATTCACTCAAAATAAAACACAAATATCCCATTTACATAAGTATTCAGATCCTTCACTTAGTATCAGTGGTTCTTGAGATGGTTCTACAACTTGATCAGAGTCCATTTGTGCAAAAGATAATGTACTGGATATAATCAGGAAAAACACGCACCTGTTTATATCAGGTCTCATAGTTGATGGGGTATGTCCAAGTGAAAACAAAGCCATGAGGTCGAGGGAACTGTCCAGAGACCTGGGAGACCTGATTGTGTCAAGACACAGATCTGGAGAAGTATTCAAGAAAGTATTAAGAGTGCCCAAGAGCAGAATAGCTTCCATCATTCTCAAAAGGAAGAGATTTGGAACCACCAACAGTCTTCATAGATCTGGCCGCCCAGCCAGATTGAGTAGTTAGGGACCAAAGGCCTTGGTCAGAAGCCAGATCCGAAGGGACACTATAAATGAGATTCAGAGTTCCTTACAGAAGGACAACCATCAGCACAGCACTCCAACAATCAGGCCTCAATGGTTGAGTGACCAGATGGAAGCCATTCCTCTCTAAAAGACACACTACAGCCTGCTCAGAATTTGCCAAAAGCACCTGAAGGATACTGACTATGAGAAGCAAAATCCTCTGGGTTGATGAAAAGAAGATTGAACTATTTCACCACAATTCCCAACAGCATGTGTGGAGAAACTCAGGCACTGAGCATCACCTCATTTAATACCATCCCTACAGGCAAACATGGTGATGGCAGCATCATGCAGTGGCAATGTCTTTCTGCAGCTGGGACTGGGAGACCGGTCAGTATAGAGAGAAGGATGGATGCAATTCTCTAAAAAGTGCTCAGGATCTCAGGCTGGGGTTTATGACAACCTGGAACATACCACCAAGAAAACACAGGAGTGGCTTTGGGAAAACTGTGAAAGTCCAAGGGTGGCCAAGCCAGAGTCCGGACCTAAACCTAATAGAACATCTCTGCAGAGACCTGAACATGGCTGCGCACCAACGCTCCCCTCCATATTTAGTTGTTAGCGGACTGTCTGTTCAGTGTTTACTGGTAGGTTATTTAGTTAGTGTCTTTGTCTATTCCCTGTGTGCGTTAGTGGTTTGGTTAGCCAGTGTACATATATGTTTCCCATTTGTGTCGGATGTTAGGTTAGTTGTTTTTGTTTTTCTGGTTTGATGTACTGTGCAGTTCAGTTTGCTGTATTTTGAATTTCCTTAGCTTTTATTGACCTCTTTTAGGGCCCAGTTTGTTTGATATTGATGTTTTTTTGTGTGTTTTTTTCTTATTTTGGGGTAAATAAAAACCCATCTTTTTTGAAATTTAAATGCTGTGTCCTCTGCCCTACTCTTCGGTCCCAGGCACCCACCTTACAGAGTAAGAGAGGGTGACTTGACTGGGAGTCAGATGTCCAGTGGTTACTGAACTGACTTCTGTTCACTATCCCATGGCTTCGTGCTCCCAAGGCCTGCTAATATAAACCCCAGAAACTTTCTCTCAAGTTTGCAGACATGCTTGATCCCTGCTGTTCTGCTCTTAATATATTTGGAGAGATGAGACCTTATAGAGGTTGCTGTGCATATTTCTGACAGCTCAGTGTGTAATGCATTTGCTTGTGTTACACATAGGTATAACACAAGAAAAAGTTCCATTGTCATAGTTTCTGATGCCATACGATGACTAGACATACTGTAGATCTTTAACAGTAAGGGACAAGCAACAGAATCCAGATAAATTTTAAGAGAAGAGCCTGTTTTCATGTTGTTTGATATCATGGAGCGGAAGCAGCAAAAACACTGTCATTGTTTATGCAGCAGACGTAGAACCTGTATGTAGAAGATTAAATCTTCCTTTCTTTTTTGTTTTTGCTGAACTAGTGTGAACTAGTTTTGAGTGTGAACTAGTGTTCTCCTATTAGGAGGAATGACCTACATGGGCTGTTTATTAGAGCTCAAAAATAATAAAACACTATAGCAATGCATACTTTTCTTTCATTCTTAAAACATTTTGTGTCAAATTTACAGTGAGAATGACACTTGCATAGAGACATAATCTAGTAGTAATATGCCCTTTATCATTTTAAACAGGAAGTGGTAACCTATTCCTTTTTAACGTGAAAGTCCAAGGGTGGCCAAGCCAGAGTCCGGACCTAAACCTAATAGAACATCTCTGCAGAGACCTGAACATGGCTGCGCACCAACGCTCCCCTCCATATTTAGTTGTTAGCGGACTGTCTGTTCAGTGTTTACTGGTAGGTTATTTAGTTAGTGTCTTTGTCTATTCCCTGTGTGCGTTAGTGGTTTGGTTAGCCAGTGTACATATATGTTTCCCATTTGTGTCGGATGTTAGGTTAGTTGTTTTTGTTTTTCTGGTTTGATGTACTGTGCAGTTCAGTTTGCTGTATTTTGAATTTCCTTAGCTTTTATTGACCTCTTTTAGGGCCCAGTTTGTTTGATATTGATGTTTTTTTGTGTGTTTTTTTCTTATTTTGGGGTAAATAAAAACCCATCTTTTTTGAAATTTAAATGCTGTGTCCTCTGCCCTACTCTTCGGTCCCAGGCACCCACCTTACAGAGTAAGAGAGGGTGACTTGACTGGGAGTCAGATGTCCAGTGGTTACTGAACTGACTTCTGTTCACTATCCCATGGCTTCGTGCTCCCAAGGCCTGCTAATATAAACCCCAGAAACTTTCTCTCAAGTTTGCAGACATGCTTGATCCCTGCTGTTCTGCTCTTAATATATTTGGAGAGATGAGACCTTATAGAGGTTGCTGTGCATATTTCTGACAGCTCAGTGTGTAATGCATTTGCTTGTGTTACACATAGGTATAACACAAGAAAAAGTTCCATTGTCATAGTTTCTGATGCCATACGATGACTAGACATACTGTAGATCTTTAACAGTAAGGGACAAGCAACAGAATCCAGATAAATTTTAAGAGAAGAGCCTGTTTTCATGTTGTTTGATATCATGGAGCGGAAGCAGCAAAAACACTGTCATTGTTTATGCAGCAGACGTAGAACCTGTATGTAGAAGATTAAATCTTCCTTTCTTTTTTGTTTTTGCTGAACTAGTGTGAACTAGTTTTGAGTGTGAACTAGTGTTCTCCTATTAGGAGGAATGACCTACATGGGCTGTTTATTAGAGCTCAAAAATAATAAAACACTATAGCAATGCATACTTTTCTTTCATTCTTAAAACATTTTGTGTCAAATTTACAGTGAGAATGACACTTGCATAGAGACATAATCTAGTAGTAATATGCCCTTTATCATTTTAAACAGGAAGTGGTAACCTATTCCTTTTTAACTGGCAATTATCTCAGTGAACACTGGATGGCATTGTTGCTGTTCAGGAACCCTGCAATTTGCAGCAGTGCTTAGAGTCTGTGAGGAGAAACAGAACATATGCTGTACTGCATTACATTGTGTTGCTGTTTGATTTTTATATTTGATGTATTTATGTTGTTTCAAAATGCCATTCTAATCAGAGTGACAGTGGCGTGCAACACAGATGATCAGATTCAGTAAAAAACTATTACAGTCATATAGCAGAAGTCAAACACCACCTCACATGTCACACCTGGTACCACTGCTAGACTTCTGGCAGTGCCATACTGACAAGTGGTGCTTCCTTATGTGTCACATGAATCAATACTTGTACAAAATGAAGATAATGTGATTATCTGAAGTTCAGGAGCCGGACCTGACCCAAACTACGCTTTTTCCATTTTCACACTGTTTAACCCACTCACACCTCCATACCTCTGCTCCGCTTCCACTTTCTAAGTTAAACTTAAATGCTTTAATTATTATCTAAACCTAGAAGTATTATATTTAACAAGAAAACTGTTTAACAAGGGTGAGTCCTCTTACCATCTGCTGGAAGTTAACGGTGATGTTTACACATTGTCCCCTACGGGAACATACAGTAGCTGTCTGGTAGCTATTGTGGAATAACAGATGAACCAGATTTTCCAGTCTGACTTCTGTATGCCACGCTCACCTATATTTGTCCTTTACACCTGACACCATAGGTTACTGAAAATCATCACTGTTGTGGCTAATGAGTAGCTAGTTTTAAAAGCATTTTGCAAACAAGTGAGATGAACAGTAGGATGTGGTTGTATCTCCTGAAATTATTGATTCATTATATTTTAGTCATTATCTCAGCAGAAAAATTGAGCTAGTAACTCAACATTAAGGAACAGAAAACTGTCAGTTACTGTATAAAGCATATTCTTGGTCCTTTAGTCCTTCTGTACTAGAGCTGCCTCTTTTGTGCAACATGGTGATATGGATACCAGAGGTTTTTATCTGAACACTATAACAGAATCATAAATTGACACTGTACTCTAAAACACCAAACATCAAGAGAATTGGAATATTTCTTGAAATGTGAGAATTTGAATTGCCCATTTTATTAAAAAAAAAGTGATATTCAGTGTTATTCTGCAGTTTTGCCAGCATGATAGAAATATTTTGGCCAGGGCTCATTATTTAGTCTTACTTGGATCTCTGCCTCTATGAAACTGAATAAATTAATTTAAAAAATGCTCACTGAAAATGATGAAACTTTCAAATGCAAATGATACTAATAACAAATTGTAAAACATGTTCTTTTTCTATCTGCATGTGGGCCAAAGATTAAATGAATATATAATGTCTCAAAATCTCTCAGAAAGCTATTATTTCTCAATTACATTGCATTTCAGTTAATGTTACAAAATAAAGTAGAATAATAATACTTTAGATTCATCTTAATGTGCATATACTACTGTATATTTTTCTTAAAAAGTGCTCAAAGAATAAGAAGAAATGCCCATTTGGAAAAAAAGGTGAAATATCAGTTTTGCTGATCTTGCAGTGGCAGTGACAAAGGCAATGGTCTCACCTTGTTTGTGACCTCTGTCAGATGACAGGGAAGGTCTCCAATAAGCAGTAGTGTCACTGAGCAACTGTCTCTTCCAGTAGCGGCTGCTTCACATCCTCTTGAAAGAAACAAGTGCCTCAAATACCAATTCTGGCTCCTAATTGTTTTCTGTGCTCTAGTGAATCTGTCTTTACTGTCACTCTGTTCAAAAACTGCAGTACCATAACCTTCACTTTAATGGTACTTGTTTTCATGGTTGCTTACTCCCAACAGGTATGTGAGACCTTTAAAATTAAACACTATTTGGAGTTACCATTGAGATAAAAATGCATATGTGTTAACAGCAGCATCTCCAGGGAGGGCAGCAGCAGCAGCACAGCTGTCGGAGCGGATTCTTCTTCTTATACCTGGTGGCCAGTCTGAATTTTTCATTAGATGCTAACACATAATCCTGAGTTCGCTCTACGTTGGTCTGGATGTGTTCGATGTGGTACCCTTGTTCCTCCACCAGCATGAAAATGTCCACAAAGAGATCCCTCACTTCTTTCATATTGTTCTCTAGGCTCAACAACTCCTGTTGGTGGAGAAGGATAAAAGGTTTAACACTGTAGGTATGAGCACCATTAGTCAGGATGGGAGTGGTCAGAGAGAGCTGGAAGGTTTTAGCTGCATCAGGGGAACAGATGTTGATATAACATGGGCTGAACATACTCAGACATTGCTGTCTGACTTTTACACACAGCTTAAATAACAAACCAACATGTCTCAGTAAGATACTGGGCCACCACGTGCCACCAGGACAGCTTTGGTGCACCTTGTCATTGACTCCCTAAATCTCAGAACTCTACTGGAGGGATGAACGTCATTATTCCAAAAGATAATCCCTCATGTGGTGTTTTGATGATGGTGGTGGAGACGCTGTCTAACATGTCGCTCCAAAATGTCCCATTGCTGTTCACCTGGGCTGAGACCTGGTGATGGTGAAGGCCATAGCATCTGATTCACATCAGTTTCATACTCAACAAACAACTCAGTGCCCTGTGAACTGGGGCACTGTCATCCTGGAAGAGACCACTCATTTATTCAGGGTTTTTCTTCCATTTGCCACCTGCCTTTTAGTGATTAGTGTCCTGGTTGACCTGAAGAAATATTTATATTCAACAGATATCCAAAGTTGTTGCTCTGGATAAAAAGCAAATCTTATTTTCTCCTATCAGTGATTAAATGCCCTCAGGTCTGCAGTTTATTTATTTTTTTATTGAGACAACATGGAAAGCCCAGTCATTTCTCTTTCAAAGTTACAAGCTATAGCAATTTCAATCTCCACTTACCTCTGTTCCTTCACCTATTTGTCACTTACTGTAGCTGTGTGAAACATGCTATAATTTCACATTTATTACATTTGCAATAGAAGATTATCATGCTACTGACTTGAAAGCATTCCCTTTATAACACCCAAGACAATGGCCACCAGTATAGTGAGTAAAAATCACATACGAAATGAATATTTTTAAGCAATGAACCATAGTTGCATGACAACAAATAAGGCAAAATTCTAACCTTTGTTAGAACAAAATGCTTTTGCCACTGCTCTCACCTTGTGTCGCTGTTCGATCTCAGATAGCTGTGACCGTGTGATTTTGGCATCATTCAGCAGATTCTCATTGAAGACCTCCCATTTTCCTGTGGCAAACATCTCATTCACCTCCTCCTCCGCCACATCCTTTCCCAGTACCTCCAGCTGCCGGATAATGAAGTCCTTACAGCGCTCCTGCTTGGTCAGCAGACCTTCATTATATTGCCGCATTATCTGAACATAATTACAGCAAAAAGAGAGAATTAAAATGAAGGAGTGGGAGGGGAGGGGAAATGAGAGCATATTTGAGCCCCATTGCTTTTTTTAGCATAAGCATCATTTATGCATGCTTCCTTAACCCTCTTGACACTGGTGGTAGAACAAAATCTGCAGAGAAAGACAGTCCTAAAATGAGCTGATCAAACAAATTAGTCCTTCCATTTTCTGATTCTGTTAATGCTGTCACTTTCTTATGTTGAGACAACTAACAACAGATTGACCAAACTAGTTCAAGCTTCATTCAAAACCAGTTTAACTTCTCTTTCAAAAAACATAGTGGGGTCATCTTCCCAACCTGCTGGAATTTGAGGTTCAGCGCTGCATACTGGGAGCGTTGTATTCTCGCTGTAGCAGCAGTAGGTTGATGCTGAGCCTCAGTTTGTTGAACCTGTTTTAAAAAGGCATCTAAACGACGGTTGAGGTTTTCGGCCTTCAGCTTGATGTCTCGTGCTATGCTGTTCTCTTTCTTCATCACACTGAATCGACGCATGGTTGCTACCAGGGTCTTTTGTTGCTGGGTAAACTTTAAGACCTGTTTTTGATTAAGTACATTTTTGTTCATTAACACATGACCACAAATAAGAGAGTGAAACCTAACTTTTAATCCTGAAAAAGACTTTAAATCTTAACTATTATAGTTCATTTACTGTATACAGTACCTCTGACTCCAGTGCTGTGACATCGTCTCGGATTTGCTGAGCCTCAGACAACAAATTCTTAATGACCGGCTCCTCCTCCAGCACAACACCCTGTGGCGTTATGATCCCGATCACCATAAAGTCATTGCTATCATCATCTACTGAGTAAGGCTCAATATCCTCATTTGCTGTCCCAGAGAACTCCTGAGCCTTCTGTCGCAGTTCCTCCAAGCGATCTTTCATTGTGGGCAAGCCCTCAAAGCTCACTCCTCAGGACACAAACTTATTACTGCATGTACAATTCTTGTCAGTGCTGATGAGAGGACACTGAAAAGTAAATAACATGAAACTTTAATTAATCCTGTAGGCAAAGTGGATTGTTGCACAAGATAAACATAAGAATAAAGCAGGGAAAACAGAGAGTACTGACGTTCAAGTGGATGATAAAAAGGAATATGTAGCCTCATATTGGAGAAAAGTGTTAGTGGCAGTAGTGTGAGACAAGCTCATGGATGTCTCTTTTTCTGACTGTATGCAGTTTAAAGGGATGCACATAGTGAAACCTAAAACTTTGAAACAAATACAGTCCTTATTTTGCAGCATACTGTTTATTGAATTGTTTCAGTTCTAATCCAATACGTCAGTTTCACTAAAATGGGGTACAAATAGAATGTGAGAATGTGCTAATTAAAATATATATGTATATCAAAGTGATGCATAAGCTTTACATGTAGGGTACATGTTAATGATGCATACATCTAATCTAGTCTAATAAATAGTATGCATTTAACAGTAAAGGTGATATATGAGGTTTTTTGTGTCTGTTATATACAGTTACTAACTTGTTGTTCCAGTTACAGTACATTTTGAGAAAAATGCTCAGTTAATGCTGCCAGGATTCTGTCTGGTGAGAAAGTATTTTCCAGGGACCAAACTAGACATGCTCTTTCTCTGTCCTTAACCCATCTGTTATGTTCATTTCTCAGGAACAGCAGTGATGTTACTGGGTTAATTTGACCATTACTAACCATTTCAGTTGCTATTTAGTGCAATGGTGTTCTTTACCTCTCACAAATTATGGTTCAATGAGGATAATGTATTTGTTTTTCATAAAAAATGCATGTTAAAACTTTTTTAATGTACATTGGAGAGACCTACATATAAAATACATAATTTTTACATGACATTGATTTTTTTTTTTTTTTTACATTTTGAAATCTTTTCTTTTTTTTGAAGTGATGATAAATTAAGATGAGATACCTCTTCTGTTCAGGGTCAAACTGACCCAAACAGTATCTTTGTAATATAAACATGGAGGGCGAGGTTGCAAATGTGTGAAATGAACCATTACACCTATTAAGCCAAGCAGAAGAACTTTCATACCAATAAAATACTTTTAACAATTGTTTTTAGATGTTTTAACTTTAATTTGGCTCGCAGCATAACATGGGTGTTAACTGTGAGAGCTTAAGCCATAAAACCAGTAAGTAATTCTTTAGTTCCAATGTGTAGATATTATATTGCAAGAATGGATTTTATAAAATATATATGTGATAAATGTGGTTAGTGAAAATTTACTGATACTTCTGTTCAGTATCAACAATTTTCAGCTTTCTGCACATTTTCTCAATGATAAAAGAAACATCGGACACTTTTAAAAATATTTACAACATATAGGTCCTACAGTTCAGGTAAATGCACCTGCAGTTCCTGCAGCTGTTTACTCTGGTGTGTCCAGTCTGAATCAAATCCTGATCAGTGTTTGCTTTTCATCTGTCCTGATACGAGCATACCTGCAGCTGAAGAGCCATATCTGCACTCTGCTGAACATGGAGGTATATTTTTAACTCTATGAAAAACAACATGAGACGAAGGGCAGAAAGTTTATTTGCGACATCAGTCAAATTGACTCGAGTTCATTTTCCCATGAGACCTGAGTGGGTTGTTTGTGTTCAACAAACCCACTCAGGAGAAACAAGGGAAGAAGAAAATAGAGCCAGCTTGCTAGCATTCTTAAACAACGACAAGTCGAGGAAAAGTGACCTTGATAAACACATGAACCAAAACTACATAAAAAGTACACACACATAAACACAAAATGTCAGATCTGACAATAAGTGTAGCCAGTCTTCATAACAAACGCTCAGCACTGAAAACGCTTCCATTTCAAGTTTCGGACTCCAGTGTGCTGGAATGTGCTGAAGCCGAAGTAAACAATTAAGATGCTTATGATTAAAACTATGAAACTACAGAACCTGATTTTCTGAATGTCTTTGACAAGTCAAGTGCTTTCAACCACAAATTCCAATGCATTCAAATGGGCATACCAAACATTAACACTGCCTTAGCAACACAAGGATTTGGGTTTAAAAGGCCATAAACATAATCTTTTGGAAGCACATGATTATGTGTGTGGAGAAGTATTTAGCTGCTGAGAAATGGAGCATGTCAAATCACAGACTATCCCATTCCTTGATCAATTTCAAACAGGAAAGGCCCTATTTTGTGTGTCTGTATGTGAGTGCATGTCTGAGTGTTGCATCTAGTACAAACTTCTCAGTAGTCAGAGACTGTAAAAGTATCTTTTGTTTCCTGGACTGAAATCTCTCTCTCTCTCCCTTTCTACCTGCTTGACACAGAAGAGCAGATTAAAAACAACTGCTCAAAGGATTTGGGAGCACATTCCCCAGTGTTTAGCCTAAAAACCTGGAAAAAGTGGAACATGGTTAAAGCTGGAGTTTAGGATCTTCCTCTGCAGCAAAATGTTTTGTTCTCTAAAACAAACAAATATTTTCTTCCTGTTTTCCATCTGCTTCTTTGTCTGTGTTTCTGAAGGAAATGTAGTGTTGACATTCTTTCATGTCCAGTGGAAAAGCAGGAGCGCCCAAATGTATTGTATTTTATCACATACCAAACATTTGCATTGTGTTATGCTGGCATTTTAACTTTAAGAAAAGTAATTAATTCTTCTGAAGTATTCCAGAAGTTGTAGATGTCAAGCAAGTGGTCCTACATTACTTACTTCTTTATGTTCGAGCTAGAAGGCTTTCTGTGAAATAAAAAGCGTACAACACAAACAACTAAGAAGATATGTTATCTTTGTTGTATGAGTGTAGCATTTGTCTTTATTATATATACATATATTTTTCTAGACAGTCTGAGGCTGTAGCAAACATTCTATCTGAAATGAAAATGTTACCTTAATGTAGTTAGTATTCCATCATGAGTTATCTGATGAGTGTTCCTAATCAGGTCACCAGGAATGTAATCCAAGACAAGCTCACACATTCTTTGTTAACTTTAGTTTCAGCTTTCTCATCAGCTGAGGGCCACAGATCTAAGCACTCTGTACCAGCTACTGTGCGCCATCAACTGTTTATGAGGACAGTTACACTCACAAGCAGGAAAAGTTTTAAGGAAGTCCGGCTGAGTCGGCTTCAAGCACCTCCCCTCCTTTTGAAGAAAAGCCTGCATCTGGCCAATAGGGAAGAAACTGAATGAAGGCTTATTAGCTTATCTAGAAAAAATGTGAGATAATGTAATACAGTAAATGAGAAGGGAGAGATGGCATGGAGTGCACAGGGAACTCATAAACCCCACCCTCAGGCTTATCCTGGACAGGAAAAGAACCAAGCACTGGGGATTGTGGTTAGGGTGTCAACCAGGGCACTGAAGTATCAGGGTTCCTAGGCTAAGCTCTCTTGTCCGGGGAGTATTTTACTTCTTTGGCCACAGTAACTCCATAAGCACTTTTGATAGAGTTCTACTGACAAGTTCCCTAAGACTTTTCAACATGAGATGGGACACAATCGCTTTCTTTATGCAGTATATCACTCTGTGCAAAGCTGTTTGAATTATGGTGTCAGAGGGAGAAAGAGGGAAGAGTTTGGTGGGAACAGGAGTGAAACCCTTATAACATTCAAATACAGCAGCCATGTTGCTGGTGTGGAGGTCTGTGATGCATGGGAGGGTATACATAAAGTAAATAGTGAGATATTTAATGACTTTAGCACAAATACCCGAGTTTTACGTACATTTTCAGTCTCTTGATAAAGTATATATTTGTCCAAGTGGTGTTTAAAATTGTTTCTTGTTTTCTCAAACCAAAGAGGACCATTTAATCTTTTAACAAAAGTTTGAAAATCACCAAAACTGGATTTATGAGGTTCCTCCATGACAGCAGCATGACAAATAATCCCCAGTGGGTGTTGATATGCTTCTGTAAAGAAATAAAAACACTGTTAGTAAAATTTTATCTCTGTTGTTCCAGATGCTCCTCTACGCCTGTTAACAATGCTGCAGTGGCATGTTAACTGTGAGTCATCTATCCCTACTGGCAAGTTATTTTGGCAACAAAGCAAAACCGGTTTTCTCACTGTCACAATTCACCTTCATCAGCATCACGGGAACAAGCTGCACTGTATGAGAACCTGTTTCCTGCAGCTGATCAGTCATCTGCCTTTTTGTCGCTGATTTTCTTCTCAGCAGCACTTATTAAGGAAATTAAGTAGAATGGGATTTCCTCTCTCACTCACAGGGTTCTCTGACAGGTGCTTCTCCATCTGTAGAATTTAGACAGGCAAATAATTCCTCTCAGGAACTCTTCCTCACCGGTAAAATAAGTGCCCCCACTAAGCACTACTAATCAAATGTTTTCATTTACCAATTGTTAGGACTACATCTACCAATTAGCATGAAAGAGGTGGGATTTGAAAGCAGCTTGAGAGAAAGTGGTGCCTCAAGAGTCTCACCTCAAGAAACAAAGTCTCCACACACACACACACACACACACACACGCACACATAAGGTGGGCTGACTTTACTATGTCAAGGACCATCAAAGCTGCTTTAATTAATATTTTTATATTTACAATCAATCAAATTTTTATGTGCAATGTGAAAGGGGTCTTTTGTAGTGACAAACCCACAAAGAATTATCGACCAACTCCATTATTTCTCTGAGCTTTGTGGAGTGTTAAAGCATCTTTCAGCTCACTGTTTTCAGTTTACAGCCGGCAATTTTTCTGTTTTGTTCCAGTTTGAACACTGTTCCCCTGTTTTTCAGCAATAAAATTTCTGATAACCCCATTGTATGTTACCAATGTAGCACCAAATGCAAGAGGTGGGAAGTAATAAAGTACAAATACTTAGTTACTGTACTTAACCCTATAAAACCTTTAATATCAAATTTGCTACGCGAGTTTCTGAGCAAAATGAAATCGCCAAAAATGCCCCATGTATCAAATGTGATGCAAAAAAATTTAAAATAAACTAAATAATATGGCACATTTATTCCTATATGTCTGGACTGTTTGTCTATGCATAAATGGGCAAATAAAAATCTTGAATTTTCTTTTGGATTTTGTTAAAAGGTTTAATAAACATCAGTTCCAAAAAATTAGAATGTTCTGGCTATTTTTTCATGTGTCAGCCTTTACAGGGTTAAGTAGATTTTTCAGGTATCATTACATTTTCAAATCAGGCTCATTACTTTTAGTTTTAATACATTTATGGGGAATTACCGATTATTTTTAGTTAGCACTTATTGCAAAATGTGCACACTGCTGCGCTGGGTGTCATGTTATTTGTTTACAGTCTGCATGGAGATCTTGTACATGTGCAGGTGAGCCTTGCTTTACTTCATACACTGTAAAAGGTTAAGGTCATTTGAAGCTTTTGGGCCAACATATACACTGGCCTACTGTTTTGTAATAAAGAAACATGTCACCCAGTGCAGCAGTGTGTCTCACTGATGTGTTTTTAATTGTTTTTGAACAACAACAGAGGACTATGGCACAGACGAATAAGCTGATGCAGCAAGGAGGCTGACAGACATTAACAGTGAGTAGAGGCAGTTCATTGTTGGTTTTAGTCTCTGTATGGGGAGGCTTGAAAAGATTATATCCTCTAAGGCTTAATTGGACCTGAATTGAGTTCTTGTTAGTTAATGTTTTTGTTTTTTTTTTTACTTTTTTGAGTTAAAATAGTTTAATTATCTTGGAAATATATTAATATGACATGAAGCTCAGTTAGGTTTGCATAGAAACAGCTGGTAGAAATGTCTTTGTCTTTGTGTTTTTTAATGAAGCTGAATTGTCAGTATTTTTGTGATATAATCTATAGACAGTTTTATGTCCTCCACATCATCACCTCCACAAAGTCAACATAAATAGGGAGTTATGACAGCAGCTGTGTGATCTATCACATTGTGTTCACAAAGAACTTATCTTTTGCAATGTAGTTATATAACATGGTGTTTTCTATTTCAGTAGCGTATGATGCTGTGTTAACCATGTTTAAAAGATATTTGACTAGATATGTAAAGCCCAGTGTAAATGATTATGATTTATCTTGCAGAGTACCTGTATGATAAGGAATTTGATCAGAATATTCAGAAGCCTACTATCCTGTTTGTGCATCCACAAACAGTTTACCAAGCTTTGCAACACCTGGTGGCAGAAATGAGAACTGCAGTTTGGATTTTATGAGCCTGGTGGAGGGATAACAGCACTGCATTACCAATGCAGCGCCACCGTCAGAGCACAACAAACATAACATAGTGAAAAAGTATGACACTTTGAATGCCTACATCTGTAGAGACAAAGGTTTTGAAAACAATGTACTGTGCAGATGGATTCTATATTGCCAGAAAGAGGAAAGACAAGAATAATAGAAAGAGAATGGAATCAACTGGATAAGTGGTAGTATAAAAGAGAGAAGAGAGTACAAAGAACACAGAGTACTTCAACTTGAGCAAGCAGAAGTGTAAGAAAGTAAGTGCTGAAGACGTGATCTGAAAAGCATTAAAATGCAATGCCTCCTCTGTGTTTTCATCTAAAATACACCCACAATGAAAGTGTGTGTCAAGTTGTCTTGGACACCGTATCAAGTAGAGTTTGTCTCACAATATAGCTGTTGGAGAGCTCTCTGGGCATTACTGTAATTGAAGCGATGTCAGAAGCAGTGCTTTACCTCACTGTAGAGTCCACAGAGAGAGAAAGTGAAAAAGAGAGGGAGGTAAGACAACAACTTCCAACCAGCCTCTCAGCTACAACCTAGAGAGTGATACTTAAGCATAGCCACAGAATATATGCAGTGTTTTCTCTTCGAGTAGAGTGAAAAACAAAAACAAACAGACAAAAGCTAAGGATTAGATTAAACTGATGTGGAACTGGAGGCCATTGCTAATACTGACATAGTGATCCTGTCTGAAATGGGTCTCAAAATCATAACTTTAATGCTGCAAAATCAAAACAGACACCCAAAAGCACAAAAGTGTTGCTTTTTGCCAGGGAGGAAAGCCCATGATAACAGCAGTTATATAACCATACTCCACTAAAGTCTTCCACTGACAGCCAGTATAATAAATTAGGGCAGATTTCATTGCAGGGACACACTCAACACTGCTGACCAAAATGCTTCAACAACACTTAAATGCTATAAAATACATCTTTGTGCATTCACTATGTAAGGGATTTCAGTATGATCCAACTACCTGCAGCCACAAAGGATCCTCCATCATATCATGCAAGGATGACATGACAGGGCAATATCTGACTTTTAACGAAAAGGCAATATCAGCCTGATATACTGTACAGGTCATATAACAGGTGAAAGAAAGACACTGGAGATAAATGAGTGAGAGGAGAGAGACGGTCAGAGGGGCAAGGATAATGAGGTCAAAACCATCGTCATTAAGCCAATCAGAAAGATTGATACTGAGGTCAGTGGCCTTGTCCAGTAAAATGACGCATTGAGAGATCAAGATATTAAATGTCCCCTTTGGGCACTGTATAAGATAGTGCCTAGAGTAATTTAGGTTTTAATTTACAGCCAGGCAGCAGTTTAATTGCTAACCCAGCCAAAAAAATTCCTGTGTTACACAAGCACTTCACTTCTCAGGCTGGTCACCTTAAGCAAAAGTCAGAATTATGTTTGTTTAACTGGCATCTGCACACTGGTGGGAGAAGTGAATGGTGCTTGTATGTGACTATAAAATGATACCTGTTACCCCCAAACTGTCAGATAGTCATGTTCAAATGTAGATTTTAACCACAAAGTATCCCTGTTCACAATCAATACAGCTACTTAGTTGTATTCCCCTTGATTTCACTCACTTAAATCAGCCCCTACCTTTGTTAAATGGTTGTAAAGCATCAAGCTTTTATTGCCTCCCAAGAGCTTGGATAGAGATCCACTGCTCCACACAATCAACAAGACTGTCTTGCTTAGACACTTCAAACATGGGTCATTTCACCCCCTAGTGTCACAAGGCTGTTATGTAACCCTTTGGCCCAGCCAAAAGGGAGGGCTCATTGCTAGAGGCAACACTGCAGGAAAATAACTCCAGATTTCATGTAT